AAAAATCATAACTCCGGTTCAAATTATCGTAATGAAAAAAATAAAACGGGAAACTTTACCAAATTGTAAGCTTTTTTAAGTAAAAATCACAGAAATTACTTCAAACTAATTTAAAGGGGGGTTTCGGACCCCCAAATACGTCAATTCAAAGGTCATTCAATTTTCCCGCGAAATAAGACAATTTTCCCCAGATTTGCCTCCACATTAGTTCAGTAAGGTCTAAAGCAGTTCAACATTACGTTGGCAAGTCCTCAAATTTCGGGAAAAGTAAAAAAAAACGGAATTTACGGTGATTAAATTTGACCGTTTAAATTTTTTTTTTAATTTTTCCCGAAATTTGGGGACTTGCCAACATAATGTTGAGCTGATTTTGACCTTACTGAACTGATGTGGAGGCAAATCTGGGGAAAATTGTCTTATTTCGCGGGAAAATTGAATGACCTTTGAATTGACGTATTTGGGGGTCCGAAACCCCTCTTTAAATTAGTTTGAAGTAATTTCTGTGATTTTTACTTAAAAAAGCTTACAATTTGGTAAAGTTTCCCGTTTTATTTTTTTCATTACGATAATTTGAACCGGAGTTATGATTTTTGGAAATAGGTCAAATTTGACCTTTGACCTATCATAACTCGGTCAAAAATTTAGATATTGTTCTGCGGTTTGCGCCAAAATTCTTAGTTTTTTATGCTCTTTCGAATGAGGTATCACAAGATAGGGTTTGCTATTTGAAAAGAAAAAGTTGGGGTCCGCAGCCCCTCCCCACGGGGGGGGGAGGGGGGCCGAAAATTTTGGGGGGCCCAAAAAGTAGCTAACATTGATCGATGAACATATCCAAAGTTTCGTTTCAAAATATTAATTAGGTAAAATTTTAGAGGGGGTGGAAGGGACTTTTGGGACACCCTGTATGTGTCAACTTATTCTCATTTAAACTATTTAAGCAAAGAACTTTTCTTTTCCCCTATGCAAGGTCTCTCTACATTTCTCTGAGAAATTTGTTTCTTTACGAGTAGATGAGGTGCCGTCATTATTTTCTAACTGTGACTAAAGACACTTTCTGCTCTCTTTATGTATTTTGTTTCAAACTAAATTCTGAAATCATTTTTCTTTGTTTTTTTCTCACTTTTTACGCCTTACCTACATTTAATTACATCGTGGTATCATTCATCTTAGTTATCTAGTGGATCTTATAGTTCACCGTGTCTGCGTGTATCCTGGTGCCATTTATTCACTGTACCGCCATTTTTTGGAAATTCTATCAGAGAGAAGGATATAACTGTAAGTGCCTTGGCGATTCCGCGGGCACGCGCCCGGAGCTCCGCAAACCTCCCCTCCCTTCACCACCCCAGGTGCCCTACTACAATTTTCGGCCTACTCAGTTGATAGGCCATACCTACTTCAGTTGTGATGTATACCAATTTTCACGTTTCTAAGTGCTTCACCCGCTACGCGAGTGACATTTGGTTAGCTCCGCGAGCCTTTTTTTCTGAGTAACTGCACTTTTGATCACTATGATGTATTCATTTTGGTGACTTCCAAGACCGAAATTATTTTGTCACAGAAGCTTGTTACCGATACGTGCCATCATTTGCACATTAATAAATATGTGGAGATGAAGCAACGATGGGCATCGATAATTTCCCCAAAAACACATTTAAATGGGACGCCGCCGTACGGCCTAATACTGTACCATTGTTTATTAATTTAATTATTTTTTCTTCTCCGAGAATCCCTGTGTTTCAGAGATCTGAAATCTTGAACGACAAACATTCTTTCCGATGTAGGTATCCAAAAAACAGAAAAATTAAAATATTTCGTGATGGACTTAAAGTTTTCGCCAATTACTCGAATCCGTGGAATATTGGTTTTTTATGGGGTTTGGGTTCCAAATATACACAAAAATTGAGGTTGGACCTTACGTATTAAAAGATTCGAACTTCTGCCTGCAAAATGTGTAAATTGCAAAGCTAGAGAAGCTAAGAGCTAACAATTTCTAAGGACTTTCATTTTTCAATATTTCTTTTTCAGATCAAAAGTACCTAGACAGGTAGCCCTGTTTCGTGGCACTTTCCACCTCATTGTTTTGACAGCTCGAATCTCATCTGCAATGTAAGTAGGTATAATCAAATCAGAACATCGGAGAACAAAGCGATGACTGCTCTTGGGCACACGCGTAGGCTTTGTCTCCACGGGACGTTTTCATGGGATTTGTCCCAAGTTCGAATCGCAGGAATGAAACTTCTGGGATTTTTCCCAGTTATTTACCGTCTCCACGGGACGGGGCTCATACGGTCCTGCGACAAGTTTGCGCGGACAGATAAGTTAGTAAAAATCGAGTGTTTAACCGGGACTAAAATAATAATTGAAACCGATTGACAATTAGACACATTATTGCAGTAACCAACAAAATATCTTATACCTAGTTCGCATTCACTTCTACTACCTCTCTCAGTTGGTCTTAAGGGTACAAGAACCTTACTTGGTACTTCTCGACTTTGTAAGTGGGATTTCTTCCTGGGACAAATCCCGTGAAACGGCCCGTGGAGACAAGGCCGTACCCTGCGAACGGAACCTTCGGTAGCGATCATAAAACCTAACGATTCTTGTTAGGTTGGGGGCCGCTGAGAAGCACGCGCGGGGTCAACATTGCGGCAGGTTGCCATGAGAGGTGGAGAAATTGTGAAGTAACCAACCACGCTAAAAAAATTGCAGAGCTACCAAGGACTCGGGTATGGGTCGGAAGAAGTTGTGAAGCCTACCGACAAGGGGACTTTCCAAGCTGCTGCCTCCGATCGGGTTGAAAAAATTCTTACGAAATCCTCAGATGAATCCATTAAACCCTTGTTCTTTTGTTTTTTTTTTCCAATGCACCCTGAAAACACTCCTACAAAATTCCGAAAAGTCTTGTTTTCAGCGCTCGAGTGTATGCATATATGTCGCAGGCGATTAGCATTTTGTAAGCCAGTGGTGAATAAATATAGAAAATCATATAATTCAAAAATAAAAGAACAAGATTAGAGTGCTGATTATGTTGCCTATGATGTGAATAGCTCCTTTGCATCCTTAAAAACATGGCAGAAATATGCACACTTAGGAGAGCGTGCAGTGAACTCCGTGACATCAGTCGGGTTGAGATTATTGAATATATATTATATATCTAATATATAATATATATTCAATATATATATATATAATCGATATATTGAAACAGCACGTGAACCGCTTGCAAATTGCCGGCGATTGCTAATTGCCAATTGCTAAAACATATACGCAGTTTAGCAGTTCTCTTACCATATTAGACGGAGGCTCTGCTGTAAAGCGCTCGCTCCTTACGCGGGCGGTCCCGGGTTTGATGCCCGGGCGAGGGTATTACTTTTTAAATCGAATTTTATATTCTCACACATTTTCCGCAATAGCACTTCGAATCACATTTAATACATTAAAAAAAAAAGAAAAAAAAAAGTACCTATACTGCCAATTGAAGAAATTATTGATCATTGATTAATTTGTGTTTGGTGATGGTTGTAAATTAATTGATGTTATAAATACCAATGTATTAAATGTGATTCGGTGTAAAATGTTGTTGTGGAAATGTGTGAGAATATGAAATTCAGTCGTAAAAAGTAATCCTCTCGCCCGGGCATCGGAACCGGGATCGCCCGCCAACGGGGCGAGAGCTCTACCGCAGGGCCACCGCCTATTGTGTGAAAAGAGCTGCTAAACTGCGTACATATACAATCGAGCGCTCATAATAAGACTTTTCGGTATTTTTTCGGGGTGTTTCAAAGGCGCATTGGATGAAACAAAAAAAAACACGGGTCCAATGGATTCATGCAAAGAGTTCGTAAGAATTTTCTTAGCCCGATCGGAGGCGGCATCTTGGGAAGTTCCCTTTGTGAGCCGAACGCTAGCGGACCCACGGATTGGTGCCTCAGGATCTAAGATTTTGAGCGAAATAGTGGCAAATCAGATGCAAAGCCATTAAAAATACATAGGAGTTAATGTGCTTCCTGGGCGCTTACCTGGCGGCGGAGGAGACGGGTACCGGGCGTCGGTCGATGCGTTGGGCGTCGTTAGGCGGCGTCTGAACTCTGAGTGCCGGCTCGTAATTTCAGCTACCCTTGGCGTTGCCACGCGCATGAACGCCCAACACCGATCATCCCCTCCGTCTTTTTCTGCCCCACTCCCTCCCACCCGAGCCGTCACCCTCTAATGACCTGAATCCCAGACGGCAGAAAACTTACCCTCCGACGCTCGACAACACTCGCCGCCGCCGCGCCACCACTAACGCCACCATCACCGCCGCGCCGCTTTTCCGCACTCTCTTTCACAGCTCCGTCCGTCTCTGTCCTTCTAATTCCTCTCTCCGCTTCGCCTAATTCATATTCTACCCTCTCGCCGCTCCCCCGAGATTCTTTTCGCGACTCCTCAACCCCCTCAAATCCCATCGAACAGCGCGCAATTCTATGACCCCGCTATCCTTCACTTCTCTCTCTCCCAGACTGAAACTCCCCTGTCATGATCACTACGACAATCATTTTTATTCTCTGTACACTCACCGCTATTTCTCTTAGTCCTCAACTTTCGCCCTTCTCCCTGTTCGTTATCGCTTTCTCTCTATCTCTCTCCCCCTCCCCTATCGCGCACGCACTCACACTTACACACGTAGGTTCGTGAGCCCCCAAGAAGTACCTTCCTCCCTGTGATGCACCTCATTCCATATGGCATCCTTGTTTTCCGTTTCAAGGTTATAGCGACGAGCTTTCACGTTATTTTGTTTCCAGCCCAGGCAAACATGGCCGCTTCAGGGTCCAGTCGCACTATGCTTGGCAACAGCCGCGTGCCCACAAAATTGCACAGACCTAGGTATTACTGCTTCTGTCTCAAGCACACACATGTAACTCTCCTCCGGGTGCCTGCTCTACCATGGCAGGGCTATATAGCCGTATTACTGTAACGGTTTATTCTTATTTGTTATACCTGTTACGTACTGGCAAACTCCGATTTTTAGGCAAAACTAGTTTTACCCAGGTAAACCTATCATGAGGTTTGTCTGAACATTTTAGCAAACCGAGAATTGTCAAAGGCCATTTCAGGCAAACCTAGGTTTGCCAAACGTCATTTTAGGCAAACCCCGATTTTATTTTTTACCGCAAACATAACTGTACTGCTTAACTGTTTTTGGGTGTCACTCTGCAACAACATGTAGTCAAGTAGTCTTCACCTCATTATTATTTTAAACATTTTTTGATATTTTTACAGTACTTACCTAAATAACCATAAATTTTCCTAGGTATTTTCCCCTTTTTACAACAAGTAGTCAGACAGTCTTTATGACATTTTTAACAGTACTACTATGCCATTCTATGGCCATTCTAACGACCTTCTATGCCATTTTCCCCTTTACTTGTAGCCTTTCCCAGTGTTGTACGTGTTCCTGAAATACAGTCTACTTCAATCTGAAAAAATTGATCGCCACAATCCGCCTACCAACGGAGACTAAATGCGGAAGTGGAGAAGGAACACACGTGTACTTGATAAGTCCACATATTTCCTCCAATTTCAGCATGATTTCAGTTGTTTCCATGGTTTTTGGAGTGTCTCCCTCATTCGATGTCAGTTTGGTGACGCTGTTTTCCATCAAAACTTTTGGTGGAATACCTATGTGAGGAAATATTTTTTTCTTATATCTACACGTGCGGCCTCTTGACCTAACCTCAATGATTCGTTTGATTTTGTTATTGTAAATTGGCAGGAAAAATTAATAACAGCAAAATGTCAGGCTTGGTGACGTCACCAAATCTGACTCACCGTCTTCAAACTGACATGTCAGGTTTGGTGACGTCCAAGAGTCTGCGATGCACGAAATTAAATCCTACAGTATGGAGCTCTAAGATAACAGGAAAGTAGTCTTTAGCTTGATATGGCCAAATAATTTATCAACTTTTTTCGGAACCATTTTCTCCCATTAGCTGAAATCCACCCATAAGTTCCCAAAAACCTGATGAAGTTCAACGCAGTAGCACCATCTTATTGTTGGGCTCAGGTAAGTTATACACTTATGATTTGTCTCATAGGTATTCATAATTCTTGACCATAGAATGGGCAAAATTCCGTAAATAGAAATTTCCACTAAGTTTGGTTTTTATTGTTGGTTGTTGTCATCATCATCATTAATATACCTAAACTTCGAAGGATTCAGACTTTCAGCGATTCTACCTTTTTCTATTTCACTCGAGAGGTTGCCAGATTGTGCGATAAATGTGAATATTTTACATGGATTTGAATTGGGAAAAGTGCTAAAAAAGCAACTTATCTGGCAACAATAGAGTCCGGGAGGGACGAGAGGCTGCCTTCCTGGGAAAACCCACACTGAAAAAAAATAATGATATTTTCAACCCCAGGCGGCGTTGTTTGAACCATTGCAATTAGTAATTTTGGGTGACAAATCAATTGCGGGTTAATGTATACAAGGTGAAAAAGCTTACTTTGACTAATTTGGAATAGTAATGCCGATCATTCAGATACTTCCCTCAACACATGCAAGTGTTTCGACTTGACATTTAGAATTCTTGATTCTACTATTTCTCACGAGTAAAATCAATCCTTTGAAAATGTTAATTTAACGTATCAAAGGGTAGACATTTTGAGAAATGCTTGTAAAAAATTGCCTAATTTGATCAATTGTAAAGAAAAAACTAGATCTTACGCACATCTGGAACCGTTGCTATTCAGCAATGCATGTGGCCTTCTTTCAAATTTTGACCTACCAATCGGGATTTGAACCTGGGACCTGCCTATCACGAATCGAATGCGCTACCTATTGAGCCAACGGGGCTTCTGATTGAGCGCTGAGAATTTGAGCTATATAAGTGATAGAATTATGTTCGATTATTTTTATCGTTAAATATGCGTGAGAGCGAAAGGCTAAATATTTTTTTGGACTTAGAAAAACTGCATATGAGTAAAAAATAATATGTATCATAAATATTTTAAAAATGGTATACTTTCTAAATTACCTTTATTATACAGGAATATTTAATAAAAAATAAATTTTAATATTTTGTCGCCTGTTTCTTCCTTTTTCGGTTTTTTAATTTTATGATAACGTGCATCAATTTTTATATTAAAATATTTAGAACACCTTAGATAAAGGTAGATTTTCAAAAAATCCTTAGACATGAATAAACTCTGGTTTATTCGCTTAAAACACGTGTTTTGTATCGAGGTTTCTTGGTTTAAAGAGGTGGCGCTGTAAATTTAATTTTTTTTCAAGGTCCGCTCGGAGTATCCTCAGTATCAGAGCCATAAAATAAGAATAATAATAAAGAACATAATTTAATTCATATTTTTTTTAAACATGGTGTTCCAACTTCAGAACTTTATATTTTAATAAAAGCTTCATATTATAAATAATCATTTCAAAAAAAGTAAGTATGCAAATCGCATCCTAATTTTTTTAAAAGGTTTTTGCTTTTCTTTTGAAATATCTACCTTTTTTCTTGTATCAACATTTCCTGGTATGGGAACTAGGCATGAAGACTAGGATTTTATTTGTATGCATAAAATTAATCTCATGATTTGTGCAAAGGATTTAAAAGAGGATAAACATTTGTTGACTTTCAAAGAAAAACAAAGGATAGGAGTGATGGGATGACAAATAGCGCCCACTGTTGTTTGCCTAACTCTTCATTTGGAGGCGTTTTTGAGAATTGGTTAGTTTTACTAATTGTAATTCGTTGGTTCGGCAAATATATTTTTCGGTATAACTTAGCAAACGGTAGAACAAACTATTGCAATTATTGTCTTAATACTTTATTTTAATTTGTTTTAAACAATTTCTTCCGGTCACTAAAACTCTTTGAGATTTATTAAATCCACTCGTATCTTTGTTGGTGTAACCATACAAATTATTCCATCAACTGATTGGATGGTCATTTTAAGCAACTTGTCATTTCTAGTTTTAACACATGTCTCTTCTGTTAAATTAGATAATCCGCTATCGTCAAGTTAAAGCCACAGGGAGTTAAATTAAACATTTTGCAGCTACTATTCCACATTAGTTAAAAAAAGTAGAACTTTTTTTTTCAGTGCATGATTTAGCTGGAAATGTCATTAAAACAATTGATTCCGTTTAAGCATCAATAATTGTAGGTATACTAGGGAAAAGCTTTTTTAAAATAATAATTGTAAATGGACACAGATGCTACAGAAAGGGAAAAAGGAAAGGAAAAATAAATGAATTGAGGATATGATTACTAATATGCAATCAGAGAGAATAAGACAAAAATATCAGAGTAATTTATATGCGATGAAAGTATAAGAAAAAAACACGAGTGGGCTCATCGCGATTCGGAACTCGAACTATATTATCGTTGAGCAGTTTTTAGACCCCTACGCCACCGATAATCTTCTCATGAGGTAAAGAAGAACTTTTGCTACTTCAGCAAGTCAAATCGCGGAAGAAGATCCATGGATTGCCTTTTTCCGCCACCCGATGGGATGACGTCCCAGTCAAATGCGTTTCTGAAGAAATGATCGATCCCCATCATCGCTTCATCTCCACACATCTATTCATGTCCAAATGATGGCACGCTCCGGCAACAAGGTTCTGTGACGAAATCATTCTTGCCTCGAGAGTCTCCAAAATGTATACATCTTAGTGATCAAATGTCCAATCACTGAGAAAAATGGCTCGCGGAGCGAGCCGAATGTCACTCGCGTAGCGAGTGATCGGGAGTCCAGGGGGCGCAGCCCCTTGGCTGGCCGTTCTGGCGCGTCCAGAACGGCTATAGTATCATAATACCTTTCGAACACTAAATAAGAACAGTCAAATTATGTCCAAAGTGAACTGCTGATTTCCAGACATCCAGCAGCAGGCAAGTGCGCGGCAGCAATGAGCGTCCCAGGTCGAGGAGGCGCGGGGAGCGTCGCTGACGCAGCGGCACTCTTAGGGGGTTGATGCGCGCTCAAAAAAGGACATTTTTGGCTTCTCCGTTCAAGATACGGCAAAATAGATGCAATTTTCGCGCAAAGCACGCTATCTTCTTCATTTCAATAAGAATTGACACTCTTCAATCTTCAAAATTCAATGTTTCAAATTTTAACCCTTTAGGCCATGGCGCAAGGATCCAGGGGTGGTTTTTGTCATGTCCAGCATACACCAATGCCCTAGAGGATTGTTTTATTTCACCGATTCCATCCATCACAGTTTTAGGATCCCAAATTGTATTCTGACTTATTTTTAGCTCATTTGGCAACCAAAACTCATAAGTACTGAGCCCGGGTGCCGCGAAATCGACGAGTCCGCCGCTACGTGAACTCCTAAAAATCATGTCAAAGTTTCAAGAAAACTCAAAACATGAACTGACTTCAAATTGGTATAAGCGTTTTACTTCAATACGGAGGCGGAGTCGCGAAACGTACGGGAACGAGCGTCAAAATTGGGTGTCGGGCGTGTTGGCGAACTTTTTAAATTTTTATGACTCGGATTCCCCAAGCCTTTTAGAAAAGCATAACATATCTATGGATGCAGAATCGAACGAACAATAATTTCGACAGGTTTTCACTCAATCCCCACCAACTGCAACACACTTTTAGGCGGTAAAGTGAAGGTTAAAGTCGGGTAACTGGGCAAGAGTGCGGAGAAAAATGTCAAAATTTCAACTTCATGATTTTTACCCCATCATTATATTGACAGTAGAGGCTACTTATGTATTTTTTTAGTACGTACAACACCTAGTCCAAACCTAGGATGAGTCAAAAGTCGAATTTCATCTTTCATTTTTTTCCCACAAATTTTCAAAAACGTCCTGTTTTTTTTTTTGTCCCAGTTACCTACCCAACGTCGTGGGGTAACTGGACTACCCCCCCCCCTTAATTTTTGAAGGGGAAATT